CACTATTGACGCCACCTTCTTCCTTACACAGTCCAGCTTCTCAGCTTATTTCTCAGCACACACAACCAATAAGCCCGGTGAGAGGGACACACCTGGCACACAGTATTTCTGACTTTCAACCACACAGCATCCCTTGGTCTGTTTGAGGCACTGCCTCGTGGTCTATGTACCACAAGAGCACAGGTAGGCAGTCTGGAATTTCCTCCTTCATGACGGTACCCATAGTTTGTTAAGATCTACACAGTCAGATGCCTTTGCACACTCAATAAAGCACAATACGTAGCTTTCTGGTCTTTTCTGCTTTCAGCCAGTGGATCGGAGCAATGGACATCCTTCCTCCCACGGCCTCTCTTCAATCTGGCTTGTATTTCTGGCAGCTCACCGTCAATGTACTGCTGCATCCATTTTAGATTCAGCAAAAGATTCATATGTATGTGGTATTCACGACCTCACTCAATAATTTCCACATTCTGTTGGGTCACCTTTCTTTGAAATATGGATACAGATATGGATCTCTTCCAGTCAGTCGACCAGCTAGCTGCTTTCCAAAATTTCCTGCATAGACCAGTGAATGTTCCCAGTGTTTCATCATTTTAGGAAACATTTCAACTGGTATTCCAGTAATTTCTGGGTCCTTATTTTTGGTTAATGCCTTCAGTGCAACCTGGACTTCTTCCTTCAGTACTAATGATTCTTAATCACATGCGACCTCTTGACATGGTGGGATGTCGGCCAGTTCTCTTTGGTACAGCGACTCTGTGTATTCCTCTCATCTTCTTCTGATGCTTTCTACATCATTTGATATTTTGACCATGGAATCCTTCAATATTGTAACTCAAGCCTTGAATCTTAAAAATTCTTTCAGCTTGAGATATGCCCAACACATTCTCCCCTTTTTGAATTTCCAACTCCAGGTCTTGGCACATTTCATTATAATGGTTTACTTGGCCGTCTTGGGCTGCTTTTTGCAGTTTTCTGTTCCGTTCTTGTACTTCATTTCTCCCATTAGCTTTTGCTACTCTATGTTTAAGAACCAGTCTCAGGGTCTCGTCTGGTTTCCACTTTGGTATTTTCTTTCTTTCCTGTCTTTTTAAGTGGCCTTTGCTTTCTTCACGTATGATGCCTTGGATGCCGTCCCCCAGCCTGTCTGGTCTCTGTTCATCAGTGTTCAGTGGGTCAGATATGTTTGTGAGCTGGTCTCTAAATGCAGGGAGGATGTACTCAGAGGTCCTATTTTGGCTCTTGTGGACTTGTCTTCATTTTCTTCAATTTTAACTGAACTTGCAGATAAACAATTGATGATCTATTCCACAACTGGTCCCTGGCCTTGTTTGGCTGATGATATTGAGCTTCTCCATTGTCTCTTTACACAAATGTCATCACTTTGATTTCTGTGTATCCCATCTGGTGAGGTCCACGTGCATCCGCGGACCGCAGAAAATAGAACACATCTGTCTTGGAAGAAGTATAGCCAGTGTGCTCTTTGGAAGCAAAGATGGTCAGACTTGGGACATGTCCTCAGAGACCATCTCCCTCCTGGAGAAGGACATCATCCCTGGTAAATGGAGGGTCAGTGAAACAGAAGATGACTCTCAACCGGATGGATTGACACAGTGGCTGCAATAACGCGCTCAAATATCACAGCTGTGAGGATGGTGCAGGACCGGGCAGCATTTTGCTCTGTTGGAAGTGATTCGATGGGCCTTTAACCACCCCAGGGATCGGATGGCAAGTGCAGTTTCTGGATGCGAGTGTAGGATCTCAGAATCAAGTGGATCCACACCCTGCACCCTGCAGAAAGATCCCTCTGACATTCGGAGGTGGTCCACCGGCTCTGTTGAACACCTCCCAGAGGAAGAGCTCCCTCCTCCCTCGGACTTCAGTGGTTCCTCTGCCACACTATCCACTGTCCCTCGCATCACGGCGTCCACAGCTCACTCTTGGTGCCCAGTGCCAGCCGTGCTCACCTCTTCTTCCCTATCTCTGAGGACACGTGTTCCACACGGCGGGGTCTCAGGTGCAGTGTCTGCCCACGGAGACCGCGCCTCTGTTAGCTCATCCTAAACCAAGCCTCAATCGCAAACCACGGCTGCCCAGGCTGTCCCCACGCACAGCGAGCCTGGAGGATGGAGCAGACCTGCCGCACAGGGTTTGTGAGGCTGGGAATCTTTATGGAAGCAGCCTGCTTCGTCTCTCTCCTTTGGAGTGGCTGGTTCGAATCACCGAACTTCTGGTGAGCCGCCCAGGACTAGTAGGACTCTTTTCGTGACTCATCCAAGCTTTCTGTTCACAAGGCTGCGTTCCCAAAGGGAATTGATATTCCAGGTGCGGTTTGACCGGAGCTGAGGGATACCATAGCGTTTTCAGCTGGCTCTTTCCTCCCCAGCAGATGTCAGTTGAAGGGTCCTTGCTCTGGCAGGTTGTCTGGAGCCAAACAAATTCTTGCTCAATGCAGAGAGCCAATGGCAAGTGTGAATTCTGGTGGAGGGTGAGGGCCAGACATTTGAGAGGGGAGGTCTCCTCCCCACTCATGCTGTGGCCTACCCCTTGGGTTCACTTCTGATTGCATGGTCCTGGGTGGTGTCAATGGCTGCTGCCTGAAAGGCCGGTGGTTCAAATGCACCCAGAAGTGTCTTGGGAGAAAGTTTGAGGACCTGTTTGTCAAAGCTCCCAGCGCTGAGGACCCCGTGGAGCCATGCCTTCTCCCCTGCAGGCCCGGGGTCTCCGGGGGCTGGAATGGACTGGGGAGCTGTTGGCTGCTTTCTGCAGTCTGACCTGGCAGAGGGAGGAGTGTTAAAGGAAGTCACTTACCCAGGGGGGTCAAGTTGGTTTCCAGGGACTACAGGGGTTCTTGTGGGTGGACCCTGGACCTTGCTGTGCTGTTGGGTGGTGCCCCTTCCTCAGAAGAAACAGGCCTCTCCCAAGGACAGCCCAGGCACGTCATTGCACCGTGCTTGGCTTTATTGCTCTTCGAAGTTTTTTTTTTTTTTTTTAATAACAAATTGAATGTTTGTGGCGATGCTGCTTTGAGCCAGGCTATCGGCAGGGCTGTTTCCCCACAGCAAATGCTTGCTCCTTTCCTGTCTCTGAGCCAGTGTGGTCTTCCTCAAAGCGTGCTCAGTGGGCTCCACCGCAAAGCGTGGGCTCCGCTTTCACAGGCGCCGGGAAACCCAAAAGGGTGTGTGACTCGCTTTATAGTGACAGTGTCTCCGAGGTCGGCCTGCCCGCCTCCTTGGGAGGACGTCTGCTCTGTGTGGGAAACAGCTCCCCAGGGAGCCCCGGCCACCCCCAGGTCAGTGAGCACCTTCTCTCTACTGGCCCCCCAGCTCAATCACAGGGGGGGTTCACTTCAAAGGTGGGGATGGGCAGAGTAACAAGGCTCTAAGGCAGGGGCTTTGAGGGCTGAGTATGGCACTGGCGGTGCGGGCAGTGCCCCCCGACCCGCTGTGGGAGCCGGGCTGTCGCCGGGGCTCAGCCACACGACAGCCTTCGGTGGTCACGGCCCTGGAGGAAACCGAAGTCCAACAGGCCCGTCTGCAGGTGCCGCATGGGACCCCTTTACCCCACTGGTTGCCCTGGCCATAGGGCCCTTGGCCTCCCCCACCCATTTCCTCACCCTCCAGGTCACACGGGGCACGCAGCCCTCATGTCAGCATATCCGCAGGCAGCTGGCTGAGCCGGTGTCTGTTGGGGTGGCTGGCCAGCTCCCTGGGGTCCACCCTGAGGCAGTCAGAGAGGGGAGGCAGAGGAGGTCATGCCCCACCGCTGATGGACGGACGCTGAGCTTCTTCCACTCACATCACCTCCCTGAGCCTCAGTGTTCTCCTCTGTAAAACGGGATAACACTCACCTGCTGCTTCTTCACGGGACCAACCGAGGCAGCATGGACTGATGGACGGACCCTCAGCTCTGCGGGGACTGTCAGATCGCAATCACGCGTGTGACAGCGTAACCCCATCTTTCTCCTCTGCCTTCTTTGCCTGGCATTTGTGTGCTCCCAGCTGATTCATGCCCAGCACGGAGCCTCCCTTTGTCCCGCCTCCAGACCCCCCATGACACCCGCCTCCGGAGGGTAGCGACGCGGTCCAGCGCAGAGGTGGGCGGCAGGGTTGGAACTTTGCTGCTTATTGGGATGACGGGTCTCAGAATGTGCAGTGATTTGGAACCTTGTGCAGTCAGGACAAAATCTCACGCAAAATCTCCCCTCCCTTCTGGCAAATCATGTTTGGTGAGACCCCCACCCATCCCCCCTCACCACTTGTCACTTCTCTCCCCCTCCGTTTTGAGCTCCAATTTCTGCTCCTACTCCTTTGCATTGAAAAAAGGGGGAGCTTGACAATGATAACCCATTTGCTTAATTAAAATCTTTTATCTCTCCCAACCCAGGCTGCGTACCAGGGACTGCCTCTGCACAGCTGGGGGTAGGGGTGACTCCGTCGTGGGCAAGGACCGCATCTCCACCTGCCTCCCCACGCCCGGCTGCCAGCTTGGCCAGGCTGTCCCACCCCGAGGAGAAGCAGACAGGCAGATTCTAGCTACCCAAGGGGGAGCAGCTGTTACCAGGAGGCAGTGTCCCCAAAGCCTTGCCATCGAGGGACCGTGCAAAACAAGGCATGTGTCATTGGGGAAAATCAATCATGCGTCCCTTTGAGACTTGTAGATGACTCACTTGACCACCTGGGACCGGGCAGCCCCTTGCTGCTGCCTTTCGGAAGGCACGGCAAATGCCACAGACACTTCTGGGGAAAGGGGGGGTGGGTTGGGGGTGCAGAGACTGAAGGCCGTCCACACCTCTGGCTGAGACGCCACTTTCCACAGGACTGTCTTAGCTCTATGACCTTGGCGGGGTCTAAGCCCATGAGCCCTGCTCTCCTGGGCTTCTCCTTCACAACCTTCTCCCCCAAGCACCCCATCTGCCCTTGCTCCCGCCAGCACCTGCAGAGGCGACCACGCGGGGAGAGAGCCCCGTAGCTGGGCACACAGAGGACACGGATCCAGGGTCCTTTTGCTTTTTGGTGGTGTTTATTTTGTTTGAAACCCACTTGCAGTTCGGGTTCGGCTAGAAAGCAGGTCACGCTGAGGGGGCAGGGAAGGTGGTCTCGAGAACAGGACGCATCTGCAGCTTGGGCAGGAAGCCCCAGGCCCTGCTCCGGGGAGGTAGGTCCAGCTCTCGGCTGGCTTAGGCCAAGGGGATGGGGGTGGGGTGGGGGCAGCCCTTCCCATCCAGTGTCCAGGGCAGTGGGGATGCTGCCTTCTCTGACACCAGTCCTCCAAGGCCCAGTCTGAGGTTTCCCAACAGTGTGCCGGCTTCGGAAGGTCACAGGTCCCCCTGGCTGCGTCTGGGGCGGGTAACAGTCTTGGGCCTGGCTCTGTGAGGCCCGTTGGGGTGGTCCTGTGGGGGGGTTCCTGCAGGTGGCTTGGCTGTTGGGGCCTCTGCAGGTGCCCAGGGCATGGTCAGTGGTACCACCCCACCCCCACCCCCGATCCCTCGGAGAAAATAAAATAAAAATTAGAATAAATACCGACGCGGCCAACATTGACATTGACATGGGTGGACAGGACGCCCTCCCAGAGTGGGCAAGGAAGGGGGAGCAGACGGAATCTGGGTTTGGGGTGTGCACCCACCCGCCGGGAGGGAAGTGGTGAGGTCTCCGGCCACATTCAGGGGTTCAGCACAGCCTCAGGCCTCCTGGAGCAGGGGTGGGGGTGGGGGAAGCACAGACAAAGGTGCCCTAAGGAGGAGGGCTGGCCTCATTAGCAGGACAGTGTCTGCATCGGGCAGGTGAGTCTGGGGAGCGAACGCAAGCCTCAGCCGCGCGACACCCAGCCGGCCCTGCCATAACATTCAGAGGTCACTTGGGGTGCGGCCTTGCCCTCCACAGAGGGGGCCCTGGCCCAGGAGACGGGAGGCCTGTGGGGTGCAGTGTCTCCTCTGGCTCCGTCTGCGTGGTCTCCCAGGGGGTCTCCTGTGGGGACCTGCCTCGCATAAGACATTGGTGGTGTTTCCGTGGGTGAGCGTTCTGAAGTGCCCCCTTTCCACGTCTGGAAGCAGAGGGACACAGGGGGGCGGCGCCAGCTTTGGAGAAGCAGCTGATATCGGTGTTCGATGGGGCCAGGGAGCAAGCGCCTTCCAGCAGACCCCGTGTGTGGGGCCGCCGTGGCACGGCACGGCACGGCACGCCACTAAAAATATACTCCTACGTACTCACACACGTTTCTATCTCGCTGTATCTGAGCGCTGACGTCTTGGTCTGGGGGGTGGGGGGCTGGCCAGGACCACCGAGGGGAGCCCATTCCAGCCTCTCCGGGGACCAGCACACCCTCCGTACGCCTGCATTGGAGCCTAGGGAAGGGGCTGGGAGACCCCCCCTCCTCCCGCACGCAGACACAGGTGAAACCCTGAGCACTGCCTCGCCACGTCCCAGGTGTCCCTCTGTGAACCCCCAGCCCCTCAGTGTCCCTTTCAAAGGCCTGGGCTGAGGAGGGGTAGCAGGAAGGGAAGCTTGCGAAGAAAGGGGTGGGGGAGAAGGCCACCCTCCTGGGGTTTCCGTCAGCACCCCCACCTCGTCCCCAGCAGCCTCACACCCTGGGGGTGGGGGTGGGGCCAAGGCAGGCTGAGGGTGCTGAGGAAGGCCTGGGGGTGTGGGGACCCCTGTCCCTACCCCACTCAGAATAAATACAGGGAGCCTCCCTGGCCCACCATCATCTCCTGGCCGGTCAGATTGGGTCTGAATGACCCAGAGGGTCATTCGTTGGTTGCTGATGTCCCTTCCTGGGGCTCCTCCCTACCCCCCAGTCAGCTCTAGACCCTGGCACCAGAGCTGGATGGACGGACATCAGCTCTTCCCCGGGAGCCAGTCTCCCTGCTTGCTCCTGGGCCTCAGCCATCAGCACGGGGATGCCACCAGGCTCCTTCTAGGAAACTTCAGCCTGCCCCCAGGACTAGTACTGCTCCCCTCCCCGCCATGATGCACCGGGGCCCCGCCCCCTAGTGACAGACAGATGCCCGAGCCAGCCTGCAATGAGGCTGGGCCCATGGCACCGTCCTGGGGGGTCCCGGGGAGCCCAGGCCCAACCTCCTCCCTGGAAGGAGCTTGAGCTTGGGGACAGTCCTTTAGCACGTTGGCTTTCATCTGCCGGCCATGCTGCTGCCCCTGCTGGACGCCGGGCGGTGGGGCCGGGCGGCCTGAGTGCAGCCCGGTGGGCAGGACCGCCTTGGAGAGGGACAGAGCTGACCGGAGATGGCAGGGCCACTGGAAGCTAGTGGCTGTGGAACACAGGGTTCCAGCCGGACCCCTGCAGGGGCAGAAGTTTCCAATTACCCTAATTGGCTCCTGGCAGGCTGTCTGTGGCTAGAATCCTAGCGGAGGGCCCCAGGCCTGCCCCCAGCTAATCAGGGGCCCTCTCGGAGGGGAATGTATGCTCACCACGGACTCTTTCCATTGAGAAAAGAGACTTCAAAGGAGCCGGCTTTCAGGGGTGGGGTGGGGGGGAATAAAACACAATAAAACAAAAGAGTGCAAATGTAACTGTCAGGGCCCTGCCCCCCTGCTGGACCCCCTAGGCCTGAGCTGGGGGAGGGATGGGTGGGTGGAGCATGAAGGTGACTGGGGGACGGGGGAGCAAGGGGGGGAGGGAGCCTGACCCGCCTCCCCGTGGCTGACAAAGGCCCCCAATTACAGTGGCTGTGGGGACGGCCGGCCTTTGTCCTCGGGGACATCTGCTACATGTCGCCTCCTGCCAGTTGGCGACAGAGGCAGACAGAATAGGGAACAATGCTCGCCCGTCTCCGACCCACTTTCGCAGGCTCGGAGGTCCTGTCTGACCCAAGCTGGGCCCCACGGGAGAGGAGGCACCTAGAAGCAGCCCTGGCACAAAGGCGTGGCGGGGGCGGGGAGGGTGAGCTGGGAAGGGGCCGGGGCGGGAGGACAAGGCAGGGGCCACTGTGGAAAGAAAGGAGCACCCCTCTGGGTGAGGGTGGCATGCTTGGGCTGGGGTGCGGGTGGGGGCTCCTCTAGGGGTTGACCCCTCCCTGCCCAGCTCCAGCCTGCCCCCAACCCTAGATCTACCTACCCCCCTCCCCACTACCTTCTCCTCTCCGCTAGGGCCACTCTGCCTTCCCGCCTGTCCGTTTGGCCCTGCGCCGCAGCGCCCCAGCTGCCCGTGGGCAGCCCGCCGGCCGGCGCTCCTGGCAGTCAGGCTGTCAGTCTCTGGATGGTTCTGTTGTAGTACTGTGTGATGGGGGGCGTCAGGGGGTTCCAGCTGTTGGCGTGGAGCTCGATGACTTCCAGGAGCAGCGACCGGGTCAGCGTAGACTCCGAGGGGCACAGCATCTTGTCTCGGGCGCTGGCCAGGAGCTCTGCCATCATCTCGGGCAGCTGCTCCTCCAGCAGCCGGCCAGTGCTCTGCAGCTGCGGGCGGTGGAGAGAGGTTAGGGCCAGCCGGCCGCCACGGTGGGGGAGAGCTGGCAGGCCTCAGGGATGTTCAGCCCAGCTACCGGGCCACCCGCGGAAGAGGAGGAGGACAGAGGGGCCTGGGGTGCTGGGTCTCTTTGGATGCCCAGTGACCCCCACTGTGCTGGCCCCAGGGGTTGTCTTTACCAGACTGATGGACGGCTGTCCAGTCCTGGGGTGGATTCGAACCACCAACCTATATAGGGTCAACAGCAGGCCACCTAACCAGTAAGTCACCTGTGGGAGGCCACAATGCACAGTCAATCTGCTGGAAGGGACAAGCGGGAGCAGCCAGGGCTGAAGGAGCCTCCCATAGACCGGGCCACTTCTGCCTCTCACCCAAGGACCCCCTCTTCCAGAAAGCCCTCCCTGACTAACCCCTGAGCTGGAACGTGACACCCCTAGGGGTGGTGAACCTCTGGAGATGCGCCCCGCCCACTGTTACCTGTGTGTGTCCAGGTGGAACCCAAGGGCAGGAATGAGCCTCCGGCCCCTATCCCTTCCTCACAGGCCCCAGGTGAGGGGAGAAGTACACAGCAGGGCAGAAGGTCAGACACAGACCTGCCCGGTCCTCCCCCAAGGCCCCTGATGGGCCACTGTGACCTTCGCTGGCTGCTCTATGGGCCTCTGCAGAGTTTCTGTCCGCCCCATCTGGGCCCATCTTTCCCCACCCCCCACCCTCTGGAAGGCATCCCCTCCTTCACCGGGCATTCCTTGATGACCTTCCTGTCCACCCTGACCTGTCCCTCGGGGATGCCTGTTCTCTGCCCACACTCCTCCTACGCAGACCCTACATTCAATCTGTGTGTGTGTGTGTGTGTGTGTGTGTGTGTGTGTGTGTGTGTGTGAGAGAGAGAGAGAGAGAGAGAGAGATCTTTTTTCTGAACCAGACTGGAAGTTCTCTGTGGGCATGGCCTTTGCTTCCTCCTCTTCCCCTAAAGCCCCAGGTAGGGAACCCAGCCAAGGATCAGAAGGCCTGCCCCATAGGCTCAGGCTGCTGTTTGGGCGCCCCTCACTCCACTCCTGGGCCCCCAAACGGGAGGCTTCTAGAGAGACCCCTGCTCAGGAGCCTTGGCAGGTCCTGGCATCCCAGGCTGACAGCCCTCTCCTCCCAGCACCTCACATTGCCCAGCTCTGGGCTCTCTCCTGAGGTTTGCCCAGTGGCTGGGTCACCGCCACCTCTCTGAAAGAAGATGCTGGAGCAGGGGGATCAATGAGCAGCAGCAGCATCTTGGGGACGGGGTGGGGGGGGGCAGGCTAGGGGAGAGATGGTGCCGACATGGAAGTCTCCAGCATCAGCAAGCCTTTCCCCTGGGCGTCTGCGCTCGTGCCTCAGGGTCCTTAGGGGTCTGCACTCGGGGGTCTCTGCGCCCCGCCACTCACTTCCATGGAGCAGCAGAGGACGGCATCTTCCTTCACATCCTGAGACTGCAAGAGCTGTGGAGAGAGGGACACAGAGCAGCACTCAGTTACAGCTCCCTGAATCCGACCCTCGGCCCCAGGCCGACACCTCTCCAGCCCCAGGCAGCCCTTCTGAAAAGACGTTTGTCTCCAGGGGTCGGACCTCACAAAGGTCGGGCAGAAGCCCCTAGGGCCATCTCCCAGGGGCTGGGGGGCTGCCATGCATGCCTCCACCGCCAGGCCGCCGTGCTGTGAGTGTGGCGGAGAAGGGCGGCAGGTGGGACTGGAGGCGGCGGCGGGCGGTGGCGGCAGGTGTGCTGGGAACAGCAGAGGCTAACCAGGGGCCAGGGAAAATCCTCAGGGAAATGACGCAGGGCCAGGAGCCTGGTGTGGTAAAGTGTTGAAGCGCTGGGTAGCTAACAAGTAGGTCAGCGGCTCGAAACCACCGGCCGCTCTGTGGGAGGAGGACGCGACCTTTTACTCCTCTCCTGCAGAGCGCTACAGTCTCAGAAACTCACAGGGGCAGTTCGTCCCCATTGGCTCAATCGCGCTGAGCTAAAACAACCTCCCAAGGGACTCTGGTGGCGTGCCAGCTGGGTGCTCAGCCGCAGCCTGGAAGATTGGTGGTTTGAAGCCGCCCAGGGGCTCCACAGAGCCCATCCCAGTGACCTGCTTCTCTAAGGAGGACAGCAAGACACGGGTGTGCTGCGCGTCAGTCTGTGACCCCAGCCACAGCAGGGGGGTTCCTCGGTGATGAGGCCCCTGCCTTCCAGGAGGTTCAGCCCTGGCCTCCTGTGGCCAAGGCCCAACAAACCTACCGTCACTGAGTCCACTCCGACCCACAGCCACCCTGCATGATGGGGAAGAAGTGCCCCTTAAGACGGCAGCTTTTTAGGGGAGCAGAAAGCCCCGTCTCTCCCGCAGCGTGGCTGGTGGTTTCAAATTACTGACTGAGTTAGTTAGTTAGTTAGTTAATTATGCCAACCTGGGCGATAAGCACATGTGGGGTTAATCGAAGGGTGGAGGGATAAACGGCTCCGTAAGCCTGGCCTTTCGAGTTCTCGGGTCTCTTGCTTTGTGATGGTCGCACCAGGGTGCAGCTGCCTTAGCAGTTCCCTGTTTCAGCAGGCAAGGCTGATTTCCTGCAAGATATCCTCAAGGAGAAGCCACATGGACCTACCCCGATGCAGCCCTGGGTGCTGGAGCACCCGTGTGGGGACCCCTGCCAGCACAGATGCTTACACATTCACTGACTCAGCTTTCATCCTGCAGTCGGCGTCATTGTGTCTGTTTTGTGAGATGGAGGAGGACTTTGTGGACTGGAGTTGGACATATGGGTTAATGGGTGAATATTGGACATGTGGGCTTGGGCAGCACCGGGTTGGGATGTTTTCTTGATGCACACTTAACCTTTATATAAAACTCTCTCTTTTACACGAGTTTCTGTGGATTTGTTTCTCTAAACTACCCAGACTAATATACTGACCAATGCCTAACCACTACTCCACCAGGGCTCCTCTCTTGCTCTGGCTAGAAGAGGGCTACCCGCACTCCCCGGGGGCCCAGGACTCGACCCATTGCAAGACTGGGACTGTGCTGAGTTACTGAGGGGCTGGAAGTGCTTTCTGAGCAAAGTGGGAGCCAGGCATCCCTGAACCTGCCTCATCTTCCCTCTCTGTTCAATCTCTCTCTCTTTTTCAAAATTAGGACATCATTCATACATTAACTGTTCCCATTTTAAAAGCAGTCAGTGGTCTCTTGTCTATTTGCTGTGCTGTATACCGCCATCACCACTCATTTTAGAATGTTTTCATCCACTCCCAAAAAGAAGTCCTGTCCTCGCTGGTAGTCAGTCCTGATTTCCCTCTGCCCACATCCCCTGGACGTCACTAATCTCTCTCCATGGATTTTCCTCGCTTTTATCTCGCTTGGCTCCACAAATCGATGCTCATGGAAGCAACAGTCAAGAGATCCAACGACACTTTGCATTGGGTAAATCTGCAAGACAAGACCGCTGGGAGGTATTGACAGGCAAGGATGTTACTTTGAGGACGAAGGTGCCCCTGACCCAAGCCTTGGCGTTTCCAGTCGCCTGGGAGGCAGGTGACACTAGGACAGTGAATAAGGAAGACGGGAGGATGCATGTATTTCAGTGGCGGTGCCTATGAAGACTAGTTAAAGTACAAAGGCATCCAGATGTCTGGGAGGAAGTACAGCCGGGACGGCCCTTAGAAGAGATGATGGTGACCGTGGCCTCCATCCTTTGGAAGACCTTTGACAAGGTGCAGTGACCCAGGGGCTGCCACAGTGAGGGGGGTGCCGGACGGGGCCGTAGTTCCTGCACGGGGTCGCAGTGAGTCAGAACCGGTTTGATGGCACCTAACGACAACAATGTGGATTTTCCGGACATTTCATTGGGGTGGTGGGTCACCCACTGCGCTGCTAATCTCCAGGCCAGCAGTTCGAAACCACCGGCCACTCTGGGGGAGAGAGAGGCGGCTTCCCACTCCCGTAAGGAGTTACCGTCTCAGATTCCCACGGGGGCTGTTCTACCCTGTCCTGCAGGGTCGTTACGGGATGGCATCGACTGGAAGGCAGTGAGCATGGACTGAGCGTGGACATTTCCAGGCTAAGACAGACTAGCCCCAGTGGCCCGGCAATCTGTTTCAGACGACCAGCCAGTGCGAACCCCCGTGGCTTACTGCAGCACCTGGTCCAGCCGTGTGCTGGCAGAGGGGCCCCCCCGGGGTGAACGCTGCATGAAGGCTGTGTCCATGGGCTCAAACCAGCCAGCACTGGCTCAGACCAATGGAACAGGGGGTCATTCTGCTGTGCAGGCGGGGTGTGTGTGTGTGTGTGTGTGTGTGTGTTCACAGGACCCCACTGGAGACTGGCAACCACAGGGCATGTCTGGGGAGACCTGGACCTGCACTGCGAGGCAGGGGTCTTCCTGAAGGAGTCTTGCTCATCTCCAGGCCACTCTGGCACGGGGAGCTGGTCCCTGCCTCCCCTGTTCCTTTCCTCTGTGTGTCCAGAGCCCGAACGCTCGTCTTTTGTAGGACACTGGGCAGATGGGACTGAGACCCCCACCCTGTTCCTGCAGTGTAACCGATCCCCTCCCCGGAGAACCTGCTTCCAAACGAGGACACATTCCCAGGCACCGGGGCTGAGGGCTGCAGAAGATGCTTGTCTTTTGGTGGGGCACAGTTCTCTGCAGTACAGCCGGGGGCTTGGAGGGGCCCAGTGTCTCTCTACCCCTTCCTATCGGTTGCTCGAGCATCGTGCTCTTTCCCCTCGGCGTGCCCCAGCTTCTCTCAGATTGCTGGTGTCAACTGGATCCCAAGGAAACCCTGGGATCCATTCTGACTCATGGGCTTCTCCTTCCTCCCGGGAGGGGCTGGGGGGTGCAGACCGATGCCGACTCAATAGCATCACTCGAGAGGTAGTTTTAGAGAGCATAAAGCTTCATGAATGAAGGTAAACTAGAAAGACAGACTTACAGGGAACCTTCCCCCTCCCGCCGAGAGTCAGAAGAGGGGTCCTGGGAGTGCAGCGGGGCTGTGCTGGGCTGCAATCTATCTGAAAAGTCAGCAGTGTGAAACCAGCTTTGGAGAAAGGTAGGACTTTCTACTCCTGTGAAAGGTTATAGGCTTGGACTCGCTTGGGGCCCTTCTCCCTTGTCCTGCGGAGCTACCGGGTCACTGTGAGTCAGAAGGAACGTGACCGAAGCGGGCCTTTGGGGAGGGGGGTTGACTTTTGGGTTTCAATAGAAGACCACCGGGGGTAATTTGTTTTAAAGTTTCAAGGTTAACTCAGGGTGATCGTTTCTGGGGTGCATCCAGCCTAAGTGGCTCCAGAAAGTCTGGAGTTCACCAGAATTTGAAATGCATCTCCCCGCCCCCCAGCTTTGATCATAAGTCTTCATCAGAATCCTTGATCAACATGTTCACCATCCAGCACACGAGCCTTCTGGCGAGGTGCGGCGGGGTGGGGGTGGGGGTGCCCACTGCCAGCCGTGGGAGTGGACTCAGGCCTTTACAGCCCAAGGGTCTACAGAGGCCGTTCTCCTGTCCCACCAAGAGGAGAGCCTTCCTTCCCAGCGCCAGACACCACCTGCTCTTTGTGTTAGGACAGGGGCTGGCCTGCCTCACCCGGCAGGCCCTCCTTGCTGACACCCCTCCAGTGGCCCCCTGCAAGGCTCCCCGTGCCCCCAGGAGCCCATCGGCTTCCTAGGGGTCCTTACTGGACTTGCTCTGGGGGAGAGTATCCCTGGGGCAGGACCGTGCCATCTCTTCCTTCTCTGTCAAAATGGGCGTGTTCTGGAATCCGTCTCTGCTGTCCCAGAGGGCAGCTGGTCTTAGGACTAAAGGAATGCAAACCCTCCTCGTTAGGTTATGTTCCGTTTGGGGTTTCTAGGGATAGTGCTTGATTCCATTCCAAGAAGAGCAGGCCCCTCTGCCTTCCTCTCCCTACCCTTGGCCCCTGGGGAGGACTCTCGATCTGCACAACTGGCCAGCGAGGAGGACGGGAGTGCAGTCCACTTGCTCCCTGGAGTCTCTGGAACAGAAGGGTGTGGGCGGGCAGGGGCAGGCCGCCCTCCACCCCCTATTTCTGGGCTGGGACTCCAAAGCGGTCTTGTGAGCCTGCACCACGTTTGTTCGGAAGCCAATGCATTCCTGTCCCATTGTCTTCTTGTGGCCACACCCATCACATCCTCCCTCGGGAGGGCGGGGCCAAGGTGCTCCGAAGGGCAGTGAGAGGCCTGGCAGCCTCTGGGGAGGGAGGGGCCTGATGAGCTCATCCGAGAGTACCCCCCCTCCCCATGAGGTGGGGATGGGGGTGGCGGCCCACAGGGCCAGGGCAGGCCACCCAAGGTGTGCTCAGGTATAACCCGGCTGGTGACTTGGGTGCTGATGGAAGGACCTGCGGGCCACCTCTCTGTGCCGGAGTGCTTGCATCTCCTGCTCTTGCACCCCTCAGCTCCCGACCCATCCTCCTGCCGCCCCGACCTCTCAGTGCCCAGTGGAGCACACCCA